GTGTTGATTAATGGTAAGACTGTGAAGTTTTACAAATGCCAAGGCTTGGGAGTGATCATTCCTTCTGTGAGGGAAGAAGGCCGTGTGTAACACGGTCTTAAAAGCACACACCTGAAGGGGGATTAGGTTTTATTGTTTGCGCTGCTCTCTTGATAGCTTTTCTTTGGAGTCTCGAAAGCCAATGCTAACGTGAAAAGAATCCAAGTCCCTGTCCAATCTGTGAGAATCTGTGACAGTTTGTGGACGAGGAGTAAAGCAATTAATCCTGTGTCAGGTTAAATACAAGAACATATTTCACCCATAAAATTTTGGTTGGAAGAAAAATGTGGGAAGGTTCTATGAGTTTGGGCAAAACTAAAAATGGTGAGGATGGATTACTTTCTTCTCTTTTTTTTGTTTCCTCAAGATTTATAAAAAGAATGAAATACAAGTTTCCAAACTTACCTGGCTATGCCTCCCTGACGTCATCTTATTTTGAGCTAGCATATGTGTCTATAAGGCCTTCCCGCTATGGAGGACTCATAGACCAAGAGTCACTTGGATCAAAAAAGTCTCTCAACATACATAATAACCTAGTAATGACCTTGACCTTCTCCATCTCCAGTTCTAAATCTGCTTTAAAGAAGAAATTATCTTGGGGCACCTGGGTGGCTCAGTCTGTTAGGCATCCGACTTCAGCTCAGGTCATGATCTCGCAGTTCGTGGATTCAAGCCCCACGTCAGGCTCTACGCTGACAGCTCAGTGCCTGGAGCCTGCTTCGGATTCTGTGTCTCCCTCTCTCTCTGCCCCTCCCCTGCTCACGTTCTGTCTCTCTCTCAAAAATAAATAAACATTAAAAAAAAATAATAAAGGAGAAAGCATCTTTAACTTACATATATAGTGTCAAATGTTTAGCTTTTTCTCTTTCAAACTAAAACCAAGAAAATCTTTTAAAGAAGCGGGGTGAGGGGAGGGGAATGGAGTACAAACAAGTAAACCAACCTGTCTGACCTGCTTTCTCTTTTATAAGTATCTAGTAATATGATCATTTTGTAATAAATAACTGAGCTGTACACCCTTTGGAAAATTCTGGCTCCCTGTTTTTTTGAATTGTGGCTACTTTGTTCAGAATGTGTAGGCAGTGCTGTTCTGGCCAAAGAAAACCTGATCAAATTTCCTTCCTTCTTACTCGTATTGTTTGTGAAAAGCCTAGCAGTTGTTTTAAATAAGTCTGGCCTCTGGTTAAAGTTTAAACCGGTAGTGAGATCCACCCAGAGCAGGGTGTTTCTGACACTCTCTGCTGCTCCTGGCCTAGGGTACTAAGAGTATTAGACCCCAGAAGCAGCCAATTTTGTAGTGCCTTTTAATACACAAAATTGTATTAACATCAACATGGATACAGACGGATGCACTGCAATAAACTGTAACCACTTGAGAAAAGCCTTTATTGACTCTCAAGTAAATAATGCACATTTTAAAGGACCTAAATATGCATTTACATAATGTGCTATAATTTTTTATTGTGTCAACTACTCACACACACACACACACACACACATACGTCCATAAGAGATGTTTTCCTCTGTCAAAAATCTGGACTTTTATCATTCTTTGTGCATTACGTTAGCACCACACCAGATTCATAATGGTAGTTTCTTTCTCTCTGTAGGATCCCTGACCGGAAGATCTCAATGTACCTTTAATGAATTTCACTAATTTGGCGATTGATTGGTTTAACCCCAATGACACTTGCTAAAATGATTTGAGACTACTTAGACATAAACATATAGGCACACTGAAAACATCTAATCCAAGAGAAAGGAGAGAAGACAAGAAATAGGAGAGAAGAAAATACAAATTTAGATGTTGCTGAAGGCTGAGCTTTAGAGAACAGAAGAGCAAGGGTCTCATCCAGTAAGAGTAATACTAGCAGTTTATCTAAAGAAATAGCATGTATTTAATAATATTTAACAGAACTGTGCGATGTCTATAACACAACTATTTTCTGTTTGAAGAAATTAAAGCTCAGGATCTTGAATGATTTATACTCAGTTTCACAGTGAACTAATGGCTGAACCAGAAGGTCCAAGGCATGAGAAAGTAAGGGTTGTGAAGGATAACCCTCTGAAATGCAGACTCAGCAATTGCCTAATTTGAAACTACAGGTTAAATGATTTCCTGGTGCTAATTAAGAATTAATTGGTCCTTGGGGCGCCTGGGTGGCGCAGTCGGTTAAGCGTCCGACTTCAGCCAGGTCACGATCTCGCGGTCCGGGAGTTCGAGCCCCGCGTCGGGCTCTGGGCTGATGGCTCAGAGCCTGGAGCCTGTTTCCGATTCTGTGTCTCCCTCTCTCTCTCTGCCCCTCCCCCGTTCATGCTCTGTCTCTCTCTGTCCCAAAAATAAATAATCGTTGAAAAAAAAAAATTTAAAAAAAAAAAAAAAAAAAAAGAATTAATTGCTCCTTATAAGTCAGTCATTGTAGAATTAATTTCATGTAGTACCATGTGTTCTTAGGTTTCTATTAAACCCGGGGCCACAAGGGAAATTGTTTTAAGAAAATACAGTAAACTAAGATCTAAATTTAAGTTGCTAACGATGTTCTCTTACGTATTTAACAACAACAAAAAGGGCAGGGATGTTTATTAACATTAATGGAGGGATCCCAAGATGAGTTGAATGATTCCCTCTGTCAAGTTTCTTTAACTTTTACCCACCTGGTATTTACTCAAGTGATTTTTTGCCTTGGGCAGCATTCTCTGTTGGCCACTACAATTTCATAATTGAACAATCATTTATCACTTTCCTTCGAGCACCTGAAGCATTGCCGCTTTATCATTAAGGTCTGCTTCCCCGGGACTCTTGACAACGAAGTTCCCACGTTTGTGTTTGACGTGCTGCAGAAACCGAGCCTATCATTTTTTTGTGCTTACTACGTTCCCAGCCTTGTTTGGAAAATACTACATTCTGCCCCTGACTAGAAACTATTTGGCCAGATGTGATGCTGGGTCACATCTTCTCGCTACCAGTAGAGACAACCATACCATATCAGATGGTATGGTTAGGTGAGACAAAACTCCTTTGGCTCTTTAAAGCACAATTGGCAAAGTAAGAGATGACCAGAGCCATTTAACGTTTTAGCCTGTGGGTTTAAGCTCAGAGGCAATAATGCATCACCAGATTTATCATTTATTTTGGGAAGTCCTAAGTTTTACTAGGCTTTTTTTCCAGGTGGGGAAAAAACCAAAGTTTTAAGTCTATCTGTATGGTTCTTGGTTTCTGTACCACTCTTGTATGCAATCGCTGGTTGTACGTTCAATTAGTATTTATGGAGGGCCAGACAATGTTCTGGGGATCTGACAGTGAACAAGTAACTAGAAATAGCTATTTACTCAGATGGGAAAGACTGGAAGAAGAGCACATATAAAGGGTAGAAGATCACAGGAATTCTAGTTTCAATAGGCTATGTTCAAGATGCCCTCAATTGCATGACTGAAGATGAAACTTTGTGTGCTGACACCCTGCTGTATCCCATGCCCATAGTAGCAGCCCCATCAGTGTTTATGGGATAGATTAAAGGTTGCATGAATGAAGGGTCCCCTCAGATCATCTGCAAGACGTGGATTAAGACCATCGCTTCTACTCCAAACCCCCATTTGCACTCTTTGCAAGCTACAGATGCTATTCTGAACCCCCAAGTCCTTAGCCATTTCAATTATTACAAAGCACCCCAATACTAAAGACATCCCAGTAAAGAACAAAGAACCCATGGCCAGTGGTCAATGGCAATGTATGATTTTTACAGTCTTCAGCCATGCGTATGGGGTAGTGGAAGAAAGTGTGGCCTGTCTTGCTTCGTTTGTTCCACACTTCTATGAGTCCCTCTCGGTATTAGGAAAATCTTATTCCCCAGACATTGGGGCATCCCTTTGTTTGGCCTCTGCAGGGACTCCCAGAGTTTGAAGACTTAAATTGCAAAGAGTAAGGCAGGATAAACACTCTCCCCTGCTTTTATTTGGGGGCTGTTTCTCTGGCCCTCCCTGAGGAAAGCTGCTGCTTTGGCGTCCCTTGGTTTGAGTATCTCCGACCCTCCCTGTGTGCTGCTCTTATTCTCCAGCAGATTCTATCAATCACCCTTCGAATTCAAGGGCAGAAGTTCTCTCAGGAACATTATCAAGCGGTTCACATAAGTTTTTTAATCTAATGTAATCTTCTTGTACAAATAAAATTTAGCAGGGCTCAAGTAAAAAGGAGTAAGAGTTGTCTGAGATCTTGTATCAATTTTTATGGGCAAAGGGCCCACAGTTCAGCAGGGGTCACTGCCCACTCAGCCTGTGGGTTCCCCTGTCTAACATTTATGCATTTCTGACTTTGGCTTTGAATTGGCCAAAAAAAAAAAAAAAAAAAGAGAGAGAGAGAGAGAGAGAGAGAGAAAAGAAAAAGAAAAAAAAAAGGCCACGTGAACCTTCCATGTAAAGTGAGGCATCCAAATTACACAGGTTCATTAAGTGATCATTTACTACATACTTCAAAAAAATTTCATCCTGTATTAGTCCCTAGAAATTTCCTTGAAAGGGGTATAAGAGCTTTAACAATGAATTATTGTCTATGGGTTAGCTCAGCATGAAAGAGGATCCATATGTGCAAACTAGAATTTGTCATATGTAATGTCAGTTAAATCAGGTCTAATCTACCAAATACATTTTTTATTGCTTGCTTCATTAAAAAGGCTCTTAAGGTAATGAATAATCTTCAGCTTCACCAAGGATTATTAATGCCTTTATAACTCATGTCCACTGAAAATGGAAAGACAGCCTGAAACTCTACCCTAATCTAACCTCCATGTTTGTCTTAGAGCCTTGAGGAAGAAAATCTATCAGACGTACCCAGTGTTAAATTCAGCCACATGAGCAGTGGTATGAGTTGGGTCAGGAAAGAAAGAAAAAGGAAGCTGGACCGGGCTTAGGAGCTGTGGCAGAGCGGGTCTGTCTCTTCGTGACTCTGACGCTTTCTTTTCCTACAGCAAGCCCGCATGCAACACCGTCGACTCTTCATTTTCCGACGTCGCCCATTATCCAGCAGCCTGGACCTTACTTCTCTCACCCAGCCATCCGCTATCACCCTCAGGAGACGCTGAAAGAGTTTGTCCAACTTGTCTGCCCTGATGCTGGTCAGCAGGCTGGACAGGTGGGGTTCCTCAATGTAAGGAGACCTCCTTTTTTTTTCCAATTTCTTTAGAAATATTAACCGAATGTAAAAATAACAAGGGGAGACCTTATGACCATGTGACATTGTGCTCTAATGTTGTGCTGATGGACTGCAGGCAAATGTCATATTTATTCTAGATTGTGGGAAAGTTAACTTGCTCTAAGAGTGATTGGCCAGGATTTAAAAAGTGTTTGTGTTAAGTTCGCAACTGTCAAGTTTATGGATATAAATCATCTCAAGGGTGAACTGTATAACCTTCTAAGGTCTGTGGGCTGATAATTCCACCTCACGCACACTAACCCTCGAGCTCACACAGTTAACAAAATAGAAAGACCAAATAATTTTAAATAATGATTTGGAGGGGAAGGGAGGGGTAGGGGGATGAAGGGGGCACAGATGTTTCAGATCAGCTAAGTTGATATTTTTTAAAAATACAGTCTTCTAACACTTTAGATCAAGTTGACCAGTACTTGAACTCAAGATGCTCGAAGTACAGTTTATTATGGTTTGTTATTTCTGCAAGTAGGTTATCTTTCCCACTTATCTTTGTATAAAGCTAAACAGTATTCGGCAGCTTCAAATGAATATTTTCGTTTTTTCTCTAAGGAACCAAATAATCACGATTTGAAATAATATTCCAAATGTAAAAGTGATTTTAAAAAAATCACAATTTTGTTTCAAAATGGAACTAAATGTTTACAATTGGATAGCTGCATCCCAAAGCCAATAATAATAATAATAATAATAATAATAATAATAATAAATAGTAAATAATGACCAGCAGAAAGCTACATGTGATTTTCCTTTTCTCCTAATAGCTGCACACGAAGCCGCAGATGAGCCGTAATTATTATTGCCTAATTTAGAATATTATATCACATGGCCCTGTCACTGATTTTCCTCCCGTGCAGAAATACCTGATTCTGCATATCTGAGACAGAACAGGCAGCTTTGACTAATGTCTGGTGATGTGTTAGCAGATACATTTCTGTCTAGACAACAAATCAATATGGGGCCTTTTTTCTTTTTGCTTGTGTATTCATTTGCTTGGCTTATTCCAAAGCATTCACTTACGGACTTTCAGCCCGCTCAGAAATAACACACGGACAAGTTTGCTAGCAAGAAAGCACAGCATTCTGATTGTCAGACAAGATATCTTTGAGGAACAATACCAAACATATAAGAGAATGTAGATGAGGGTCTAACTGAGGCTGCGTCTGCAGAGTTATTAAGCTTACGCTCAAAAGCCTGGGACAACTGGATCCCCCTCAGCTGAATTTTGATTCGGGACTATAGCCTAAATACCAGGTGTTATTATTGGTTGCACAGTATCACTGAAGTCTGGAGTCAGAAAGGCCACCTGAGAGACCATGAAAAGTCTGAAGTGACCACCAGCATCAAGAATCTCACTTTTAAACTTCTAACTTTTTAAAAATAGTCATGACATTATCGTATATAAGTATCAAACTCCTGGTTTTGTGTTTTGATCAATATTTTATAGGGTTTAAGGCAGGTCTATTCGTGGGACTATTTTGAAAAACTTGAAAATAAAATGGATCTTATTGCTTTCTTCAGAGGGGAACTTTCTTTTGTTAAAGAGCTGTTATTTGGTTGTTCTAACATCAGGCAGCCAAATAAATATGACTTTTATGGCATATGCTTATATAATTTAAATCAAAATTAGAAGTGATATTTTTCCCTAGCAGAATTTTGACAGCTCAATTCTAAAGTTTCTGTGCCTGATGTTATACAATATGTGAAAGAAATTTTTCATGTTCACTTAACATATTTATTAAATGTTATATAATATCAACTTTGAAGAGTGAAAATAAAATATTATTTTTAATTTCCGACGCATATTTGGGAAACCTTATTGTATCTGTATAAATAGACATGACGGAATAATTCCACAACCTATAAAACACTTACATATGAAATAAATAATACTCGTGGGAATGATGATGAAGGTAGCAGTTCATACAGAAATGAAACATTCCAAGCACAAGTTGGCAGGTCGTTTTACGGAAGCAGGATGTAAAGAAGGCCAAAGTAATTCGAGAGAGAAGTTGAGGCTACGTTGAGCATGTGTGCCTAAGACTACACTTTTGCGGAATGCCTTAAGGACAACCCAACAGTTTTTTAATCCATATGCTCTTATGCAAGAACTCAAGCAGCTAGAATACTTCGTAATTTTACATAAAAAGATGGACTAATGCATGTTTCATTTGCAGAAGCCGCTAATGGTCGGTATGTGTTTCTTCTTTTCCTTCTGCGTGTTTGTTTGGTTCCCGCCCTCACAGCCCAACGGGAGTAGCCAAGGCAAAGTGCACAACCCATTCCTTCCCACCCCAATGTTGCCACCGCCGCCGCCACCACCGATGGCCAGGCCTGTGCCTCTGCCGGTGCCAGACACAAAGCCTCCAACCACATCAACAGAAGGAGGTGCAGCCTCCCCGACCTCACCCAGTAAGTACGGCTGAGATGAGGCGCCGGTCACTGATAAAGCTCTGTGTACTTGAATCCTCATTTAAAGTTTCGTCCCAACTGCACAGGCTGTAGTGATAGGCACTCATCCCCAGCGACGGTTGTAGCGTGGGTTTGCAGGGCCGAGACAAGATCACAGCGAACACCGCTCTCGGGTACCGTCAACTACACCAGATGTGGAAGTGACTGGGTGTTTGGGCAGATAACATGGTGCAACTATATGCCCAAGACTGAGAGCAAGATATGACTCTTAAATTTTGCATATTATTTCAGTAGCTGTGAGTGCTCTCAAACACAGAGATCATCAAACAGCATCTACTTGCATACATTCTTATTAGCAAAAAGCTCCTTTTGCTTTTGTGTAGGCCTGCCTTCCAGCAACTTACAGTCCAAGAGAAATGCATTTGATGAGCTGTGCACCTCATACATCACACAGGAAAAAAAGGTTTAAATCAAAGTAACAGTTCAAAGGTGTGTACCTTGACCACTCACCAAGAGCAAGAGCCTGGCAGAAGATCAGAGCTGATAACTGTGGTGCATGGTCAGGTGTGGCAGGGGGAGGTGATAGAAAGTATAATGGGATGGGAAAAGAAAAGAAACTCTTGGCTCTTCTCTGAATAGTATGGGAACATGTGATCAGATGATAAAAACCTTTTTAGATGATAGGAATGATTAGTTGCTGAATTAGAGGGATAGTTCCTGATATTTTAAAGATGGCAAGGGGATAGGAATAGCTCGATCACATGAATTTGTCTTTTGTTAGTACCTGGAACGATGTCAAAAAAGAGTGATGGCCGGAGACAGAGTTCTGAGGTGTTGGATGGACAACCTAACCTTGACAGATGATGCGATGAGCACCTCCTTAAGCCTTTACTGAGGGATCAAAGTGTAAGAAAGGATAGGAATTGTGACACTAATGCTAAGGAGAGCAGGTCTCCAAGGAGGTCTTCAAAGGTGAGACTGGAGGCAAGGAATCCATTGAGGAAAACATGAGAGGAGACCAGGAAAGAAATGTTAAGATCGAGAACTTGAGCAGCAGTTGCAGAAGTTGAATGGACAGGAGCATGAGGAGGGATATTTTGTAGACCTCAGCAATGAGTGTAACAAAGGATGACTCTAGACCTCCTAGGTTCCTTACTTTCAGTTTGGGGGACCTAATGATATTGGGTGCAGGAGGGAAAGGGCCAGAGAGGAAAAATAAGCCTATGTTGACACTATGTCACTGGATTTAATTCTGGGGACCCTGATTCCAAAATCTGGAATTCCTCATGGACATGTGTCTGAGGGTGAACTTTGGGTTATTGAGTATTTATTCATTCTGATAACACATGTAGAAGTGAGTGGCATTTTATATGGATTCTGATATTACAGCAAAAAGATTGGGGGCCCAGGGGCAATTTTGTGGGGACCGACTTCCCTTGATAAGAGGTGGTTCAACCCTTGTCAACAAAGAAGAAAACCCAGAGTGTCTAGTGACAGAGGAAACAAACGAGGCCTGTTCCACAGATCTTGGAAGCTCAGCTTCGAAAATAAGCTTCTGAGAAGCAGAGGCTCATAGGTGTGTCCTGTTTATTGTATATTAACGTAATGTCTTCAGACAAGTTAGAGAAATCACCATCCCCAAACTCTATTTAAATCTAGTCACGGGGGGATAACGGCCTACAGACTGGTAGTCACATAATTACTGTGCCCCGTACATCCCTCCGTGTACCACTTTTCTGTTCACCCTCTCCCTCTCTGCACGGGACAATGACACAGTCCTTTAAAAGCCTACCAGTAATACTCTTCCTCTTCATTTAAACACATATTCCTCTCCACTATCAGTGTCCCATGCATTCACAGTACATTTTCCAGTAATGGGAGGGGACCCCTGTGGCCCTGTGGAAGAATCAGAATACCATGTGCAGTTACTGAAGTCTGGAAGATAAGGTCTCAAATCCCCCCACCTTTTAAATTACTGGCTGTGTGTCTCTTCAAATCTGTTTCCTCATCTGTAGAATGTGGGTGATGATACCTGCCTGGCAGGGTTGTGTGAAACCTGCCATGATGAGCGCCACCGCGAAATGAATTGTTGGTCTTTTATTATCTGCCAAAAGTCTTAGTACAGTTTCCAGGCTTGGGTAAGGATGAAGTATGTCTATAGGACACATATAGCTACTCAACCCGAAATCAGGCTGATGCCTTTGGGTCCATACTTCTGGATTCCACGCCATGGATTAAATCAAATGGCTTGTATAGGAAGGTATCTGTCATCTTCTCATGCCCAGCCTCAAGTATTCCTTCAACATTATGTGAAGAAGCGTGGATGGGGTCCTGGCGGATCTAATTCATATGGTTGCATGGCCATTAGAACAGGGTTTAAAGATTTGGGGGGAAAGGATATCAGGAGAGAGAGCCCAAAAGTTTGATATAAGTAATTTAATACTTTTGAACCATATGATTCTAGGAATGCAGGCAAAATAAAATGTTCTACTGGTGGCATAGAAAGGCTTTTATCATCATGACTTGCTTCTGGGCTTTTCTGGGGTTTGCTGAATTCACAAGAATGTGTTGTTTCACAGCAATAGCTTGCCTTACCATCCTCTCCTTTATTGATAAGACAGTTGATAGGCTGGAGGACATGTAATTTATAGCATAGGGGAGCCTTTCCAATTAAAAATCTCAAAGCCCGCTGGTCCACACTGGGAAGACATTTAAGGAACACCTCCCCGCCCCCCCCCCCCGCCACCACAGGCACACGCACAAACTCCTCTTCCATGCCCTGATTTCTGAACCAATTGGTAAATAAAATACAAGAAAAAATCATAAGGAAGACCAGACTATCGCTTCTACTATCAAAGAATTTAGTTGATAACTGTAAGCAAATGGTGCTTCCTAATGCTGAACCCCTGAGTTACACAGACCGATCTCTAGTGGCTGGCAATGTCTGACCACCACAGGCCTTCCCAAGTGGGGTCTGCCCTCCCGTTTAGAGCTGATAACTCGGAGGTCCAGATGGCTGCATGTTGCCTACCAGCCCCTGTCTTCCTAAGAGAAAGGAGCAGGACAAGTCATGTCTGGTTTTTACTTCTAAACTCTACAGTCTAGAAAGTAGAAAGTGATCAGAGGGAAAGAAGCCACAAAGATATAGAAGGGAACAAATATCTGAGTAAAATCGCTTCCCCCTCTCTCAGCATGCATCTTGATGACTACCTTCTTTCATTCACTCATTCAGCCTTCATATAGCGAGCACTTATCATGTGCCAAGGACTGTGTTAGCTGCTTGGGATACAGAGATGGTTAATCCTTGCTCTACCGAAATGTAGGATCCTGTGGAAGGAGACAGCTGGCAAATGGGTAGTTCCCAGGAGACAAAGCTGGGACAAAGGCTTGGGTTCTACAGGAGCACGTGGGAGGGAGTTTGGTCTAGGAACAGAGTCTTAGCTAAAGATGATTTTGGAGAGGGTGACTTCTATTTAGTAGGGATAATAGTCTGGTATTTTAAATCTGAGGAGGAAGGTAGCACTTTTCTTCAGAAACCAGCCTGGTGGGGGGAGGGGATGTCTAAAATTAGATTACCACTGAATAAAAATTTAGGGCAAAAAATATAGTTTCATAAATTATGTACCTTCTTAGAAATTAAAATCACAGGGTGGTTGGATCCTGTTTATCTTTGCCAGTTTATTAGAGCTCAACTTTAGCAAGAAGAAATATCATGACAAGGTATTAAGTACAGATGTTCGAGATCCCAATAGCATGTTGGAAATTGAGGCTTTTTTCAAAAACACTAATTGTATGACCCAGGACAGCCTTTTCTACCTGGCGTTTGAGATGACTTCCAGTAAGGTAAAATTTTCAAAATACAAGTAGGAAATCATGCCAAGGGTCTCCTATATTACCAACTTTTCTGGGCTTCAAACTCCCTTATCTGCTAATGGGAGTATCACTGGCTGCTATACCCACTCTCTTAGGCAGATTGACAGGACAAACTGGGGTGACAGATGTGCTGTGCTGTAGACAGTTAAGAGTCCAAGGCATAATTTTTAATATCATCTTATAATGAAATACAAATGGATGCCAGCCTAAAGCAGAGTATGTATTTTAACCTAATCAGTTGCCTCTGGCATCAAATATTCAACTTTGCAGCTGTGGCCAGAAAAACATGGGTAAGGCAGATTTGGGAAAAAATTTGCCTATGAAATAAATACATTTTAATGGGAGAAATCCTTACTAGTGCCCTAAAACAAAACAGAACAAACAAAACCAGGGGCGTGGGGGTAGAGTTAACAGTTATTTGGAGAAAGATTGATGTACTACTGTGTCAGATCTTTTTCAGATACCATAACAAATACGGATAACCCGTAAGAGTCATTCACAATGGATGTGTTCTGTTCCCGCTAACTACCTTTGGTGGGTTTAGATACCTACTGAGAGAACATTGCTTCTTTTGTTCATTCAGTAAATAGTAATTGACCATCACCTATTTGCCAAGTAGTGTTCTAGGTGCTAGGATTGAGCAGGAAATGAAAGAGATTTGAAAAATTCCCTGATCTTGTGGAGCTCAGATTACAGAAGGGAAGAAAGTCAATAAAAATAGTGAGTATAAAAGGTAGGGTGATGTAAGTCGGTTGTCTGTCGGCATACGTAGGGGTCAGGAGTGGTGGAGGTAGGGGATGACTGTCAGGGTGGGCAGAGAAGGCCTGTCTGAGAAGGGGACATTTGAGCAAAGAGCTGAAGGAAGTGAGAAGATGAGCCATGAGGCTGTAGGGGGAAGAGCTTTTCAAGCAGAAAGAACAGCCAGTACACCTGGCCAGGGTGGTGAGAACAGAATGAGGAAGCAAAAGTAGGAGAAGGCAAGGTCAAAGGTAAGGTGGATGAGTCTGGGAGCTGGGAGTGAGGTAAATAATGTAGGCTCTTGTAGGCCCTTGTAAAGACTTGGGCATTTACTCTGACCGAGACAGGAAGTAGAGAAGTGATAACTACCTAGTTTTTAACAGAAACGC